CCTTGAGGTACTCCATACTGTACTTGTGATCAATATGATACCTCTTCATTCACTGCTACGAATTGATGGCGGTCAGATAAGTACGATTTGAACCATGCTAATGCACTTCCATTAATGCCAACATAGTTTTCTAGTCTATTCAAAAGAATGTTGTGGTCAATAGTGTCGAACGCAGCGCTAAGATCCAATAGCACTAATAGAGAGATACACCCACGATCAGATGATAAGAGCAGGTCATTTGTAACTCTAAATCCTACTATGATACTATGATACTCCTAAAACAGGAGGCATTTGATTTCTCTGCCCTCGAGGATCAGACCAGGACAAGAGGACTTATCACGTGCCGATGCCAATTCATTAATATAGATATTAAATAGAGTCGGGCTGAAGCTGTCTGTCTGTCTCTCTGTCTGGCCATATACATTCAACATTCTGTCTTTGCATTAATGTTTCCTCGCTGGCTTTGAGTTCATATAGAAGAGATGTGAAGGTTTTAATTTTCCATCATTTCTCATGAGAAATACAAAGCTGGGCATTGTTGTAGCATCTGTAGTTTCTCTTCTGACCTCAGATTAACCGAATCAAAGAGCGCTGGCCGTGTTTGTCCTTGAGGCCATCAAGCTGCAACTCCCTTGCGTCAAGAGGAAGTCCAACACCTGCGTGTGAACGGCAATCTAAAGAAAGAAACAACAGTTTATTTGCCATTTGAGGACAACTTATAATGTTGTTTCATTCACTGCCGAACTGTCAATAAATGGTGTTTTCTGGTGTAACCCTAACCATATTCACATATTGGTCAAAACCAATACACTTTTGACCCAATTCTGAATATGTGCTTGTAGTGTGCCGCATTATTTCAATCCTATCACAGTACATTTATACACTTATGATTTGAATAGCTAACTCTGAAAAGATCAAATCTGGTAGAATTCAGTTGTTTTTATTCTAAAGCCTTTTAAATACACCAGCGATGAATGGGGAGAACTGGTCTGTTTTCCAGTTAAACATTTAAAAATAAATTCAAGTTTCATTTTCAAATCCATTAAGTGCTGTGGCTGGGTTCAGCATTCTGTTAATCAGATTTCAGCTATGAACAGCAGAGCGACGGGCTTAAACACACGGAGCCCCGGTGGCCTTTAGCACCTCTTTATCTGTCTATTCTGGGTTGAAGCCGAGCCGCAGTATTAACCCTAATCCAGCTGCAGCGTGTTGTTTTGATGAAGTGGTCACGCGGATCAGCTCCATCTCACCATCTGTCTCTCTGCGCCAGTGTTCCAGGTTCATTGATAGTGAAGTTTGTCACACTTCATGACAGTGATTGTGCTGCTGGTGGCTTCATAGGCTCTGCTGTCATGGAGGAATTTTGACAAACCCTCACCAGGTGAGTGTGATGTTCTGTTGCTGTTTTGTAAAACGCTGTGGCTGGAGGTGTTTTGTAGAATTAGAGCTAAATTACTCTGTACAACAGGTTAGAGAATGAGAATTCTATTTTTATTACTAATTAATCAAACCCCTTGAGGAAATAAGAGGATGGACAGATTATTTCAGATTTTCATTGATGTGAAGGGAATTATTTAAAATGATTTGAAAGTGAAATTCAGATTACAAGTGTTGTGACACATTTACCAGAATCAGAAACTGGAATGAGTTCATAGGTGTGAAAAATGTCTGATTTGATACATGTACTTCCAGCTGACAGACGTGACATGGGATGCGGAGTCACGAAATCAACCCAACTGCAGCTGAAACCATGCAATCGAGGTGCGTGAACCAACAAGATGATTAAAGTTTGACACTGTTCAAAGATTCAGTGCTTCGAACAGAATATCTGCCATTAAATGACTCTCCTGAGAGAAATACAGCTCACATTGCTCTATGTCTGTGTCTCTATCGATCGTGTCTGTCTATAGGGAACATCTCAGTTCCAGGTAATTCCTCCTCATTTATTTCAGTAAATGTCTCATTGTTGTCAGTGGGTGCGAATGAACATCAAACACTGTTTTTCTCTGTTTCTCTCACATGCAGCGGCTACAGGTCAGACAGATCACATGTTTCTGTGAGTCTAAAGAAACTTCACTGTCACTCATGTCTCCTGCTGGCCTGACTTTCTCTCGTCTGTCTGTCTGTCTGTCTCTCGTCTGTCTGTCTGTCTCTCTGTCTGTCTGTCTCTCGTCTCTGTGTCTCTGTCTGTCTGTCTGTCTCTCGTCTCTCTGTCTGTCTCTCTGTCTGTCTGTCTGCCTCTCGTCTCTCTGTCTGTCTGTCTCTCTGTCTGTCTGTCTCTCGTCTCTGTGTCTCTGTCTGTCTGTCTGTCTCTCGTCTCTCTGTCTGTCTCTCTGTCTGTCTGTCTGCCTCTCGTCTCTCTGTCTGTCTGTCTCTCTGTCTGTCTGTCTCTCGTCTCTGTGTCTCTGTCTGTCTGTCTGTCTCTCGTCTCTCTGTCTGTCTCTCTGTCTGTCTGTCTGCCTCTCGTCTCTCTGTCTGTCTGTCTGTCTGCCTCTCGTCTCTCTGTCTGTCTGTCTCTCGTCTCTCTGTCTGTCTCTCGTCTCTCTGTCTGTCTCTGCCTGTCTGTCTGTCTCTCGTCTGTCTGTCTCTCGTCTGTCTGTCTCTCGTCTCTCTGTCTGCCTCTCGTCTGTCTGTCGTCTGTCTCTCTGTCTGCCTCTCGTCTCTCTGTCTGTCTGTCTGCCTCTCATCTCTCTGTCTGTCTGTCTGCCTCTCGTCTCTCTGTCTGTCTGTCTGTCTGTCTGTCTGTCTCTCGTCTCTCTGTCTGTCTGTCTGTCATCTGTCTGTTCATGGAAATTTATAATTTTATTAGGCACAGATGCATTCAATTGATCAAAAGCGACAGTAAAGACACTTCAAATTATACAAAAGATTTCTGTTTCAAATAAATGCTGTTCTTTAGAACTTTATATTCATCA